GTCAGCGTGGACCGTATAACACAAAACATATAACCTACGTATAAAATGAGATCCACCGCACAGGAACTGTCAGCGTGGAAAACAAAATACATTTTATACATACCACAACAAAAAGGGCTGTTACGGGGTATGCACGTTACAGTAGTTAAGTCACGTAATGCTCCGGCGATGGCGGAGCGTCTGCCAGAGGTTTAAATGAGGAAAGGAATTCATCACCTAACGTGCCTCAGCTGTGCGCGACAACCCACGAGTCACTAATTACAAAAAGCGCCACAGCTGAGGCGTGGATCCCACAAAAAAAGAGGAAAGAAAGAGAGGCAGGTCGCACAGTAATATATCAGCTTAAAAAAAATTTTTAAAAACATGGTCAGAGTGGTGCTTTCACACAATACAAAGTCAGCGGGGCTCCGAGCGTGGGTGTGGTCTAAATGCTCTCTGACTCTACATTAAGTATGTCACGCATACGCATTTAATTCTACAGCGCAGTAGCGTGCTGCTCCCATCACACTGGTTGGTTCAAGTGTTGGTGCATCAGTATGTGTGTGTTATTGTGCACAGAGACCAACAGTCCCAGTGAATGCGATGTCCTCACTGTAATGTGAAGCTGTCTGTGCTGTGGACCTCCATGTCACCCAGTGCAGCAGTGCGTCTCACTGGGGGGGGTTAATAGCTGGTGGACAACAGTGGAGGTCTACAGCATAGAGCGATGAGCTGGACCAGGGTCTGGACTCACACACATTACGGTGAGGACACCACGTTCACTGGTGCTGCTGGTCTCTGGACGGGGTTGGTGGGGAATGACACACACCAGCTGCAGCCTTAGAAGAGTCCCCGAAGCCCAGGATTCAGTTGTTCCAAGTATTTACACACAAACAGTAAAAAATTGTGCAACATCTGGCTGGACTACAAATAATACAGGCCACAGTAGGTTGTTATGTCTGGAAACAGACATAACACACTGTAGTATGTCACAGATGGATTTTACTGTGACATACTACAGTGTGTTATGGAGTACTTTTACTGTGATACTAGGTCCACAGTGTTTGGGTAAACTAAACTCTTACAGCTAAACTGTACTTACCTCCCTGTCACATACAAAGAGCAGATGGCCAGCAGCAGAGACTACACTCGAGTCCAGACAGAGCTGGTTACTCTCTAACCCTTAGAGGTGCTGTACCGTCCTGTTGCTGAAAAATCTGAATGTACCGTTTCAGTGTTCTTGAAAGAAAACTGTCAGTGACAAATGTTTAACCTTGTTCCTAGAAAATCATGTTCTTTCATTATTTCTGTGCAGTGCGTGACTCCAGCTGCAGACGTCACTGGACGTCAACGGTTACATAGATGTAACACAGTTGTGCAGCAGCCACTTCACTGAATCACCCAGCTGTGACGTTATGAATACCAAAACAGCTCAGTAGCCTATCACAGTGGGAAAAAAAAGAATTAGGTCACAGACCCATCAGTGAGCACATGCTGACCTGTCTCAAGGTTCCCTTGGCTCTGAACAGCTTGTAGAGCACGCCGACGGGGATGCAGAGCATGGAGGACAGAGCCAGACACCAGCCAATCACCTCGCCCCACCACGGGTACACGTACACATTGTTGTAGGTCAGGGGCTTGTAGTTGATGAGGTGGAACAGGAAGATGCCCTGCAGACGAGAGCAGAGTGGTCGGGCAGAGCTCAGACAAACCCTGACTCTGTTGTCATGCTAAACAACAGATGATGTGCATGTCACATCAGCTTCCACAGATTATTTTATTCTGGTTGTCACTTGTGTTGTGCTGCTGTTTGTGCAGGAGACTCGCAAAGTTGTCCACAGCGTCATTATAACATAGGATAAGGATAACCACCTTTATTGGCCAAGTATGTTACCTTGAACCTTCTGGTTGGGAGATGACTGCTCTACCCACTGCACCACTGTCGCCTCCGACCTACCGGCATACCAGTAACACAGAGTCTGCACACTGTAAAAAGTACTTCTTCTCTTGTTACAAGGCTCTATACTGTTTCTCCACTGAACGTTTTATTTTGGTAGGCAGTGCAGCTCAGAGCAGATTAAGGAGTAGTGCCATGTCCACAGTAACAGTGGGATGTTGAATCGTTCCAAACATTAGCAGCAGCACCACAGAGTTACTTCCAAAAATCTGAAATCACTAGCAGTAATTATACCTGTGACATTTTAAGTTAGTGACGTGTCAAAACACATTTTACAACCTTTTGACTGTCTCTCTCAAATATTGGGTCACTTTAATAATTAGGTACTTAGCTAACAAGCTAAATTAGCTGAACTATCCCCAACAACAGAACACTGAATTAGTCTGCAAGGCTGTACAAGTCATTCAAAGTAGTAACTGCTGACAAATCCTGCTGTTCCCTACAGGAAATGAATCTGAACCGACTGGGACTATTTGTAGTCATGTGACCTGCTGCCGTTCTTGACCCCTCAGCGTCGCAGCTCTTCTCTCTTAACGGCTCTGGTGCAGCTGTCAAGTGACATCACTGAACTTGTACGCATGAAGCAGAAACATAGAGCTGTCAGAGTATTAAAAATGTAAAAATGACAATGTTGTTGGCGCCATTTGTTTCTGAATTCCTTGCTAAAATAATTTTTAGACAGATGATCACAGGGACCTGCTGTTGTGTGATTTAAACAGAGTCTACATGGGAAGGGTCATCTCCAAACGAACCGCCAGAACAACTTCAACAGAAGAACAGGACAGAAAAGCATTCAGAGAATTGTGGTGTGGTCAGAGTGCAGGTTTACTTGTGGTTCATAGAGTCCACAGAAGCAGAATGGGAGGCAGAGCC